TGTCTTTGAGCACTCCTCACCTGACTGTCTGTCTCTGGGCACTTCTCACCTGACTGTCTGTCTTTGAGCACTCCTCACCTGACTGTCTGTCTCTGGGCACTTCTCACCTGACTGTCTGTCTTTGAGCACTCCTCACCTGACTGTGACTGTCTCTGAGCACTCCTCACCTGACTGTGACTGTCTCTGAGCACTCCTCACCTGACTGTCTGTCTCTGGGCACTCCTCATCTGACTGTGACTGTCTCTGAGCTCTCCTGACCTGACAGTGTCTGTCTCTGAGCATGCCTCACCTGACTGTGACTGTCTCTGAGCACTCCTCACCTGACTGTCTGTCTCTGAGCACTCCTCATCTGACTGTGACTGTCTCTGAGCTCTCCTCATCTGACTGTGACTGTCTCTAAGCACTTCTCACCTGACTGTCTGTCTCTGAGCACTCCTCATCTGACTGTAACTGTCTCTGAGCACTCCTCACCTGACTGTAACTGTCTCTGAGCACTCCTCACCTGACTGTGACTGTTCCCCATAGAAATGAATGGAGAGTCACGACAAAGATATAATTACAAACCTGTGTTTGTGTGTGTGTGTGTGTGTGTGTGTGTGTATGTGGGTCAGATACACATTACAATGTAGGGAACAAATGTGAACCTGGTATTTTGACATTATGGGGACCATTTTTGGTTAACCCCCAAAGAACATTTTTATAAAAATCTGCGATCATACAACTAAAATGCCTTGTATTTTGTTTGGTTACTTATGGTTAAGGTTAGGGCTGGGTAGAGGTTAAGGTCATTATATCGTGATTAGAGTTTTACCCATAGAATTGAATGGACAGTACCCACAAAGATATAAGTACAGGTCTGTGTGTGTGTGTGTGTGTGTGTGTGTGTGTGCGAGCGGGTTTACCTATCCTTATGGGGATACAATGTCCCCATAATGTGATAAATATCAGTTTTTTTCCCTTATGGGGACCGGTTTCCTGGTCCCCATAAAGGAAAACTCTGTTTTATAAAAATCGGTGACTGCTATGAAAAAACTAAAATTGCAAAAAAACTCTTGTATTTTGTTAGGTTAGCGTTAGCATTTTTCCCATTGAAATGAATGAGCGGTCCCCGTAAGGATATGTTTACCCTACATGTGCGAGTGTGTGTGTGTGTGTGTGTGTGTGTGTGTGTGAGTGAGTGTATGTTTGTATGCATATGCGTGCATGAGCGAGCGCACTATCAGTGCCGGACAGTGCATAGTTATCCCATCCTTTTGTACATCTGACTGCCACGCAGCATATGGTCCAGCTACCGCTGAGTGCAGCGCCCAGATGCGCGTGAGCGTCTGTGGCCCAAACGTGCGCGCAGGGAGGGGCCTCAGCTGCTCCTTCATCCTCAGAGAAGCACCGAGGTCCCTCCAGCATGGCACTAAAAGCCGCTGGTGTTTTTATGGGTTGCGGAATAGTGGAAAAACTCAGAGGTAAAACGTGATGCCTGTCCGTGTTCCTCTACCTCCGGTCTGCACATACATAATGACCAGCTGAGGGTGACACAGTGGCTGTGTGGGTGGCACTGTGGCCTCGCACCTCCAGGGTTACAGGCTCCATTCCCACCCTGTGGCTATGTGTTTGTTGAGCTGAAAATGCTGTGTCCATGTTTGCCCGGTTACTGCTGTTCCCTCTCTAAATTTTCATTAGTGCATATCTGCCTGTGTGTTTGATCAAAAGCCGATAGTTTTGGATAAGGCCAATAGATAAGCAGATAATACTTAGATAAGCCAGAACCAAGTACAATTAGAGAGACAGTGAAACGAAAGACATCAAGGACTGCGGCAGTTGATAAGGGCAGGGAGACTTTATAGTCTGCATAGTGAAGCACTGGAGATGAAAAGCTGGAGATAAAATGCAGGACAAATAAAGGAACTAGTAGGGGCCCACCCCGCCCAACGAGATGAAGAAACATTAACATATCCGCATCTGTTTATTCCATATTTGGACTATTTTTAGATCAGTTCTATTCCATAGCTTTTGCAAGTTCATGTGGCATGAAGGAGTCCAGTGACAACATTATGGATATATATTACTAACAGGAATAATAAGCTGGCCTATTTTGTCAGGTTTGTGGTGATAATGTGTTTGCTGAAGTAGTTTAGGATAAATATGTTATTCTGTGGTACAGCATCTATCTCTCGACCATCTTCCCAGGTTTACAGGATGGGGGTGGAACCTGTCCTAGGCAGCTTGTGGCACACAGCTAGCATATATAGTGGCTGGGATGCTGGTCCATTGCAGATACATTAACGCGCACATGCTCACACACACAGTCATACTCCCCTGGCAGGTTAGGGATGCAATTAGCCTGACTGCGTGGAGAAAACCAGAATACCCAAAGGAAACGGGTGAGAGAAAATAGGGGGAGAACATGCAAACTCCACACTCTCAGAGAGGTGGTGTGGTACAGCAGCAAGGTCTAATTTAAAGCATAAATCACATGCTAAGGTTGTAACTCGCCGAACTGCTGCTTGCTACGTGTT